TTATGAGTCAAATTGCTCAGAGGTAGTTCAGCTGCATATGTAGAAAAAGAAAATGTAGAAACCCCCCATAGTTTGTTACTGCCCCTGCATAGTTTGTTATTGCCCCAAGCATTAAGAGTATTACAAAGTCTTAAAGACTGATGTAATTACTAAACATTGAATGTAACATCTGATGCTTTATAAGATTTAGAAATCCAACTTGAAATTCCTATAGAACTCCTATAGGAAAACCTACTGTCTGTCACATATCCATAGTGATGTGAGCTATCCAAGTAGATCTATAGTTTCTAAAGTCTGATTATTATATTATACATAAAGAATTTCCTGTCACAACTGCATATTTCAAGCATGTTAAAACTACCTGAGTAAAAAAAATGAGAGTTAATCAGAAAATATTTCTCATGTCCTTACAAGAGAAACAGACAGTATTCACAGAGACAAGTTTTCAATTCATAGTCTTTAACTTCACTTGCAAATTTACTTGCAGACTGGATCACTTACTGAAGCACTTTTTGTGCCTTACTCCATATTATTGCACCAGCGTTTAAAAAAAAATAAATGAACTAAAAATACAAGCAAAGCAAAAAGAACCCAAGCAAAACACAGCTTTTAAAACATTAATTCAATGACATTTCAATTGATTCAATGCCCACTGACCACATCAACGTTTGAATCAGACTTTCTGTATATAGACAAATGTCTGCAATCAGGCTGTGTGCGAAGTTGCGTACACAGAAGTTAAGGACTCTGAAACTCTGGCTTTTCAGCAGCAGCGCAGGCTTTAGATGCTGTCACCAATCTGGGAATGACAGCACACTATATATTACTATTTCATTCACATGTAAAGTAACGAATTGTTCTAGGAAAAGCATATTCATGTAAAAAGTCACCCTGAGTAACTCAGTTCAACGTTGTTAAATAATAACCTATTAAAAAACTGTTGTTTGCCTGTTGAATATTAATTTTATTATATAGTGATGTATAGCACATTAAATAGGTCCTTAATAGTATTATATAATTATGGATGTGAATTTTGGTCCAGTTTACAGCTAAAGTGTTCTAAGAGAAAAATGTTTAATATTATGAAATCTTATGGTCTTAGAGGAAACTTAGGCCCTCAGTTAAAAAGTTTAGAATATTTGTAAGCGCTTTAACACCCAAGGGTAAGAAAATTTCTTAAATGGTAAACCTACATGAAAATTGTTTGATATACTTGAAGCTAAATTCTGCGGGATGTCTGAGTTTACATCCAGACAACAGGACCTAAACTAAGAAATATTAATCTGATATAACAGAAACATAACTGGAATTGACCAGATTTCACAAAATACCATTATGTCTGAAAAATTATCTGGAAGAGAACTATTCCTGAACGTGAATCTAATAGAATATATGAAATCCTCACATACCCAATATTCAACACCATGAACTGGAGGGACAGATTATCTAATTCTATGTAGTCGAGAACTCCTGAAGTTTCTTGTACAATGCCTTGCTCTTTCAAATGGACATTACACTCTTTTAATACTTTTCTTGCTTACAAAAAGTCTGAGTGCCATGCAGTCAAAGTTAAAAGATACATATTTTTGCTTATAAAAAAATCTTAATGATTTACTATACCTGCCCCTCATTTGATTTCTGCATCACTTATTGTAAAATGGGGTGAAACTTCAGCAGTGGTATGGGACCTGCTGCAAAAGCATGGAAAGTATCAGAAGTTTTAATAGTTCTGTAGTGATCAGGTTTGCATTGCACATAAACAGACACAACCAAAAATAAAACCTAGTTGTGAAAGACAATTACTTTTTAAGCTAGTTGCTTTCATAGAGAAGCAGATGATCCTATGATGAATCCCTTTAACATTCTCATTAAGAAGTCAAGGTCGATGCTTTGTGTGGCTTTTTTTATAAACACAGAAGTGAAAGGTAGTCTACCCATAGTTATATTCTTATCATCCATCTTTAAGCCATGTAAAAGACTATAAAGCATTAAATTTGTATTTTCCGTGTTACTTTTTATCTTGTGATGACCTCTCCTGGTTGAGCTGTTCATTAGCCTTGATTCCAGAAGTTAAGAGTGTTTTGATCCCTCTATGCTGATTTGAAAACTGCAGGAATATGAAGAATTTATCGCCAAGGTAAGAAAAACGTGACTATGAAGAAAATTTACACTAAGATCCGAGTATTAGCATGTGTGATGCTGTATAAAGGTGTGTGTTTATTGTACTATAAGATGGGCTTTCAACACCCACTTCATCTTGAGATAAAACTGAATGAGCTACAAAGCTTTCAACATATCACTTCTGAATCGGGATTACTGAGAGACATTATTTAATGACAGAAGTAGATTAACAGATTTTGCAAAGTAAACAAACATTTGAGACGCAATATATTGACATAAATGATGTTCAAATCAATTATTTCCAAAAACTGTATCTTTTTCTATGTCCACACAAGCAGACTGTAAGAAAATATTGAAGAGCAAGCTCATATATAGGGATTTGTAATTCACTTTATGCCATGAATCTTGCATGCTTCCTAAAAAAATACTGTGAAGTATAAATTTGCTGTTGTTAATTGCTTAAAAATCAAAACATAAAGTAGTAGTGGAGAAGGAAAAAAAAAAAAAAAAAAAAGTGGTTGGAAATCAGTTTTACATCAAACTTGAATTTCATACAATTTTTGATTCTTTCAGGAGTATTCCCAATATGATGTTCAAAATCAAATGATGAGGGAAAAAAAAAAAAAAAAGATTAAAAACTAAGTGCATTCTCTTGTCAAAGGAGAACAAAATTCCCCAGTGCCATTCACAATCAGTTGCATACAAAGTGACAGGACAATCTCAGAAAATACAGTTTGTATACCAAAGTGTGCAACAGCATAACCAGTTAAGTGGTGCACCAAAACACTGTGACACAGCACTTGAGTTCCTACTGTGGTACCACTTCCCAAGTACCCGTACGTCTTTACAAGAATTTTAAGCATGTACTGCAATGTGAACACTCTTTTTGTATTTTTTAAGGCTGACGTGTACTTCTAGCTATACTTCTGTTTCCAGTAAACAAATCTAGCTCTAGTTCACTTTCAGAAGTGAGTCAGAAACAAAATGCTATAAACTACATAAGGAGTGTGGTGCATAAGCTCTTGAAAGGTGAATTAATATAAAGAAATTTTGAAGAGCTGAAAAAAAATATCAGGATGTAAATGTATATGAGGAAATTGTAATTAAGATTATATATATCCTTTACTCATGAAATTCCTGGTTATAGTGATGTTACTACAACCATTAACTTCTAAACCAACTTCTTTCAAAAGTTAAAAGATTTGCTTGCTGGGTAATCAGAGAACCCACCGCTGGTCATTTTCCAGTTAAACTACAGCCATTAGTTACTGAATGACAAAACGAAGCTCGGAAATCCGATTATAGAAAAGCAGTATAGGGAACTTTGTTTTCCAGGGACAGATTTCTGACAACCTAAATCATCAATCTTTTTCCCCCCCTGTATGTATACTCCTGTTAGGCAGAGCCTGAGAGATAATCATGAGGAAATAATATTCAGAAGAAAAATTAGCCGGTCAAAACTAAGCAGTAAACCTCAGGATCAATATTCGTCCTAAATCAAAGGTAGAAAAATAACTGAACATCCTATAGCCTCTGAGACCTCGATACAATGCAGACACTGCTGTACATTTTCCGTTGACATGCAAATAAATGTCTAAGTGTAAGCAAATCCTGGAACAATAACATTGTTTTATTTTTTCAGTAGGTACCAGATGATAACAGATAGAAACCCACTGAGAAAGTGCAGCAGTGCTCCAGTTCCCTAACCATTGCATTGTTCAGTCGACCCCCCAAAGAAACAAATAAATAAATAAATATGATCCACATAGATCTCTACGCAGTATATACATTACATTCTAAGACAATTCCCTGCTTGCTCAGTAGAATCAGCTCCCATTCACATGCACACAATCCCAACACATTTATCTGTAACATCTCAGGACACTTCTTGCCTCTATAAACAGCAGAGGAAGTCAACAGTAGTGTCTATTTTTGACGATTCTATAAAAATACACTGCTTCATTTCAGTATGCGTTTCAAAAATACTTTGCAAATGGCAAACGGCTTTACATGATCTGAAGAGAAACAACTAAATACTTAACACTGACATCTACCTGCAAATGTTTTGCTGGAAACTACACCTCAGTGCAATGTTAAAGATTTGATCTAACACCCACTGAAATCAATGAGTACTCTGTCATTTTTACCCTGATAGCAGAACTGGGTCCTGTATAGGTGCTCTGCGCTCCTCTGGCCTCAAGTTTAGCATTTCAGCAGATGCTTGATAATTTCTCTACTATTTCTGCCTCCCTAGGTGGGCAGCTGCTGGTCTCCTCTAAAATACCTTTGTTCATTTTATTATGGGAAGCAAAACTTCACTCTCAAGAAAAGCTGTCCTGGCTCAGTTCCCTCTCATCAACTCACCATCATTCTTTCCTCTTCAAATGAGACAAAATTCTCTCTTGCTGCTCCTTGATAAAACACTAGTTATGAAAACTGCTCACATCTTCTCTTTTCCTTCACACAACTGTGGAAGTGAAGTACTTCCAAATGCAAATTGCATACCTTCTCAGGAAGGTGGGAAAAAAACAAACCAAAACAAACCAACCAACCGACCAAAGAGAAACCACCCCTAAACTTTGAACAGCTTCTGTCTGATTCTTTTCCCCCTCTGACTCCATTGCAGAATCTAGACTCTATCACAGAGCAGGTCTTTCAACTTTCCACACCAGCTACCACTGAAATAATCTACACTAAAGAGGATCTGAGGGGGAGCATTCCGAACAGTATCAAACCTCAGTGCACACATACAAACACGCAGAAAATCAAACACGAGATTCACCAGCAGAGAAAAAAATAATCAACCTCCCAGAGTTGTGGGAATTCCCCTCTGGCTTCTTGCAGAGCTGAAATTGTGCATCTTAGAAAAGGGTACTTACGAGATGCAGGCAGAGCAGTCCTGGCTCTGCAGCTAATGCTGCTGAAAATCCAGAGGAAGAGAGCTGCCCTGCAGCCAGCTCGGGTAACCACAATCATCCTTCACTTCCTGGCTCCCTGTACTCCAAATGCCAGCCGCAGAAGACTTGCTTTTCTCCACTTTGGCCCCTTCTCTCTCTCTCTCTCCTTCTCTTTCTCGGAGGAGGTGGCGAGGAGGTAAAGGGGGCAGGGCTTTACCTTGGGGTAGAAGCCAAGCCCCCTCTTCGTCTGCTATCTCTGGGTTTGCAGCAGCAGGATAAGTCCCGGTACTTTTCTTTCCCTTATTTCTCTGTGTTTGTGCTGTCTCTTATACACA